GATATCAGAGAGAGGGATAGTTAAGTGGGATGGTTGAGCATGACAATTGAGTGGAGAGCTGAGTGGGACAGGTCTATGTATTCACCATGTAGAAGCGACTGGTAGCTATCTATGTAGGGAGATATTGCTGCTCATCTCCCATGTATTGCTGTTACCCAAAATTTGGCTCCATCTGCCATTGTCCAACCTTGCTTCCCATGGTGTGAATGATATTCTTGCCATTGTTCCTACAAGTTTAAATCTTGATTGATCATCAACCTATCAGTGAACCCATCATCATCGAATATGTCTGCTGAACAGTCCCGCCAAGTTCATTTCCATTATCAAGGTGAGGTTGTCTTCATTGTTGGATCCAGTGACCTAAGCCATCCACAGCTAATGTAAGACCAATTGAGCCAAGGCAATCTAGCTCCTGCATGAAGCAGTCCAAAAATCTGGAGGAGCCACTAGTACAACTGCATGAGTTGTGAGAGCCAACCCCTCCACCAATTGTCTCAAGTGGAAGGGTGGATATGGCAGAGTCAAACATGGATATTGTGGCTGGTGAGTGAACATGATTTCTCTCCAAGCTAAACAACAAACATTCTTTCACTATAGATTCATGTGAAAGCTTGGTGGATCAGTTCCTGCAGGAAAGGGAGCCAACTGCTCTGGCACAGGGCAGAATCATGGCCAGTGAGTTGGCATGATTGCCCTTCAAGCTAACAAAAAAACTACTTTTCTAGTAATATATCCACACAACAACTTGATGAATCGGTTCCTGAATGAATGGGAACCAACTGCTCCCCCAGTGGATGGTATGAATGTGGATCTACTGGAGCAATTGCTGAATGCACAGGAACCATCAGCACTGCCAGTCATGCATGAGAAATTAAACAGGATGGACAGGTCTTCAACACCTGCACAAGACATTACTATGCAGGTCAATTTTCTGGCAGACTTGCAGAATGTGCAGGAACCATCTCCTCTGCCCATCACCTGTGAATCATCAAATCTGAGGGACCGATCTCCTTGACCTGATTCTCTGACTAACCTGCTTGCTCAATTGCAGGATATGAGGGAACCAATGCCTCCCCCACTTGTTTCAAATGTACCTGTCAAATCTTTTGACTTGGCAGTGGATGAGGACAATGGTGCAAACTGTTTGACTCTTGGCATGCCCGAATGATCAGAGATGAGGGATCTTTTTGTGGAAATATGCAATGGTGAGCATTTATTTGGTTCTATTCATGTGATCAGTGATATCCATTGATTATGTAGGTGAACTTCCATCTGCACAGCAATCTCTTCAAATGGAACAATGGGGATTGGCACCTGTTCCACATTGCGATCAAGGTATGGGCATGAGCTTAAGCTGATACACCTTTGACATTGATAATTTTAGTCCTGTGTGCCTTACATGCTGTAGTATCTCGCTATCACAGAAACACCACTCCCAGTGACACACCATTCAATCCCACCCTCAATAGGCACCTTGTGTGGGCTGTGAATGCTATTGTGAGAGAATTGGGCACAGCTGCAAGGGACCAGTATGGTGCAGCCTCTCAAGGCCTTCGACTCATCAATATGCTCAATTTGATGGAAGTCATTCATTATCCACATTCCACCTTTGAAAATTGTCCAGAGCCATTCATCACCAGCCAATCACACCCATCTCGCCAGTCTGTGGTAGAGATGGGTATCCTCTACTTGGCATGCCAGATCGAGGTGGCTCTGAACCCCTGCCCATCTGTGCAATGTCTGACAATCTGCCCATCTGCATGATGGCCTGAGTAGGTTTATTTTTTTTGCAGTTTATGATGCACACCCTTTAGCTCTGAGTACCCGCCCAATCTATGATGTCAAAGCACCTGCCCATTTTCAAAATCTTGGCAACACCACCTGTCCAAAGTTCAAGAGCCAGCATATCCTAATAAAATACAAGATCCACATTGCCTACTAAATCTTACATTAAATTTTGCAGCTTCAAATCAACAGTTGTCCAGTTGCAACTGGTCTAGGTAGTAGGTCATCCATCTGCAGTGATTGACACATGGGAACATGCACCAACTGATGTACATTGGCATGCATGTAGTATGCCAGGCATGCTCTGTCACTGTCTACAGCTCCCACCCCATGCTCCAATGCTGAACCTGAAAATGCAATGATTGTCCCTGGGTTGTAGTGCAGCCACAGATTCAACATTGGAATGACACAGTCCAAGGGCAGGTAGTCACCCACAGTTACCAGTATGTCATACCATGGATCCCATCCATTGATATCCCTGTGGTAACAAGTTGCCTGATTCACCATCACAGACATGCTGCTACATGTGGAGCTCCATATCAGCAGTATGGAGCTCATATCTGAATCTGCCTGCTGTTCCACCTGTTTGCCAAGGTGGATCAACACTTCCCTGCCATCTGCATACATTCATGGATGGATGACATGCAGGATCGCAGATAACAGGGCATTGGTGTTGGACATTTGGTCAACCCATTCCCTTGTAGAAGTGTTTTCCATCCTGGATTTGAGCAGCCATGAGGCTTCCAGGAAGCCATTTTGGGGCTTCAAGACAGATGAGCACTTTATTCACAAGGAAAGAAATGATCACCCACTCCATGACCCTGTTGAAACCATGCAGGTGACAGGTTGATGGCACCTTTCAACTCAGCATTATTGCAGAAATATGACTTGTCCATCTGCCATGCCTGTGGGGAAGCCTTTATGCTCTCCTGCAGTGGTTCCCTCAGAAGATGAAGGTGGTTCCATATGTTGGCCTGCCATTGCATTAAGTCAGTAGAATATGAGATTCTGCATTCCCTTACCCTTCTTTTTGGGCTGAGAGCATCTGGCAAATACCAAATGCAGATGGTGTTTGAGTTGGTCACCAGAATGGATGGCTCAGTCACTTCCATGTATCTCTCAGCAGCTTCTGCATTGCAGGTTTTTCCACCCTGATTTTTCCCAACATTGACTGCAGAAAGATGAAAACTTCCATCACACCATTATGATGGACTTACTTGGGCAACGATAGGCCTGTGAGATTACTGACAATATGTGATCCACTTCACATAACACTGGAAACAGAATTGATATATCTGGAAGGGTGTGAGGTCCACTGAATACCTCCTCTTGAAATCTGGCTTTCATGTATGATGCAATGCAGTCTGTTAGTTCCATTTGCCATCCATGGGGGGTTTTAGATGTGTCTTGCATAGTATTCATGCTTGGGGTGGATGAGGTCAGAGTTGTATAGTGGGCAAGCCACTTGCAGCTTGTTGGAAAATTATGGCATGTTGGGACGCTTGCCTCAATATTTTGCTGTGATCCAATCAATATGTTGTGATGCTATATGTGCTATTGGTGTTGGGCCCATCTTATGTTGCAACAGGGGTGGATCTTACTGGACAGACCTGTCCTTGTTTTATGGTGATATAAAAGATATTACTGAAGGGCCTGTCCATATGTTATGACCATATAAATAATACTGCTGAAGGGCCCATTCTTATGTTGTGACTGCATAAATGATACTGCTGAAGGGCCCTTCCATATGTTGTGATGCTATAAATGATATTACTGATGGGCCCATCTTTATGTTGGGACAGGGGTGCATCTTACTGGACAGGCCTGTCTTTATGTTGCAACAGGCATACATGTTGCTATTGACAGGCCCATCCATGTGTTGTGACCATGTGATTGATATTACTGATGGGCCCATCCTTATGTTGGGACAGGGGCATATCTTACTAGATGGGCCTGTCTATGTGTTGTGACACTGTAAATGATATTACTGATGGGCCTGTCTTTATGTTGTGACAGGCATACATGTTGCTATTGACAGGCCCATCCATGTGTTGTGACCATGTGATTGATATTACTGATGGGCCCATCTATGTGTTCTGACACTGTAAATGATATTACTGACAGGCCTGTCTTTATGTTGTGACAGGCATACATGTTGCTATTGATGGGCCTGCCCATGTGTTGTGGCTGTGTAATTGATATTGCTGAAAGGCCCATCTTTATGTTGTGATGTGGGTGCATCTTACTAGACAGGCCCATCCATGTGTTGTGACCCTGTAAATGATATATATTGAAGGGCCTGTCTTTATGTTGCAACAGGTACATCTTACTATGGACAGGCCTGCCCATGTGTTGTGATGGTATAAATGGTATTATGGAAGGGCCTGTCCATATGTTGTGACACTATAAATGACATGACTGATGTGCCCATCTTTATGTTGCAGCAGAGATGCATCTTACTAGATGGGCCTGTCTATGTGTTGTGATGCTGTCAATGATATTACTGATGGGCCTGTCCTTATGTTGTGACAGGTGAACATCTTGCTATGGACAGGCCCATCTATATGTTGTGACAGGGGTATATTATCCCAAAGACGGGCCCTTCCATATGTTGCCAACTCTGTAATCTATCATAGATGGGCCCCTCTTTATGTTGTGACCCTATAAAGCATATGATGGGTGGGCCCATCCATATGTTGCAACCTTCTTCATGATACAATAGGTGGGCCCATCCATGTCTTACAGTAGCTTAGCATACTTACTTGGTCATGGGCCCATCTATATGTTGCAGCATCCTTACCCTCCACAGGCCCTCCCATATGTTGTGGAATTGCATTTACAGGCCCATACATATGTTGCCCTCACTGTAGGCCCTCAGGCCTGTCCATGTGTCATGGCTAATCTATTTAGACAGGCCCATCATGGGGTCTATATAAGTGTTGGCATTCTGGCATGCAGGCTACCTATATGTTGTGACTAAGTGGACTACATGGGGTCTTTGTTTTTAGTCAAGGTTGCTCTGAATGATAACTATGTGCCTTTCCCTCTGTCATTCATCCAGGCTGTGGATGCTGCATGCTGCTGCCTTTCTTTGCTATCTGAATCCCCTTCATACCTCAAAGCACCCTGTGTAGATTAGTATACAAATTTTGCAACAAATAGGCCTACACTATTTCAGCAACACTACAAAAGCCATTCAGATAACCACATACATACTCGGATTATTAAAATACACTGCTGGCACAGATATCAAATGGGAACACAAATAGCCGAAATACGAAGGTGGCGCAGTAGGAGTACGTTAGGAGTACGATCTATACAATCTCTAGTATTGAGGCTTCAGGATCTAAGATACTGGCTAGGTCTTGAGCACAAGCAGTAATCATGCAGTCGCTCGCGATCCTCTTGTACTGGTTGGAATGCAAGCTCTTTAGCAGAAGTGCGCTGAACGGTTGCTCTAGCTGCCTCAGCAAGTTCCAAGCAGCATCCTCATCGCTCCCGGTCGGCTTTCCAAGTGATTTTGGGTGCCAAGGACGGACAAGGATATATGCACCGGCCTTATTACTAAGTTGATTTGACAATGTGACACTGACAGGCCTAAGTCGCGATGCGTGAATCTCGTATGTGTGACCTGAGGGGCTAGTCGAGGACCCTCGCAGTCGGACGGCCGTGACCGGGTGGATGATGGAGGGTAGCATAAGCCTCTTATTATCACATCGCGCGAGTGGTAACTTTAAAAGCTTATTGTACAGTTGCCTCGCCTTTACAACGCCCAGGGCTTTCCGTTTGGCAGAGTCGCTGGGGATCGGCTGGATGTCGGGTTCGCTCTGGTACGGCATAAGGTTGGCAGGAAAACAACTGTTGAACGACGATGGTTCACCAACCCAATCCAGAATCGAAACGTCTCCCGAAATTGATATGATCTCTGCCAGGAGACGTCCGAGCGCATTCTCCGCAGATTCGCCGTAAATGATTGGCAAGTGAACGTTGAAAACGCCAAAAAGGGAGTAGGCAATATCCTCTGGTTCAGTGGTACTACGGCCTGATGCCCAGTGGAGTCTGGTTCGCGCGTCATCCACACCGGGACAAAAGTTGGTAAGGTGTTGTTTTGCTACTCCCGTAGCCTTGTGGAGCTCCCCAAGCACCGCAGGATCTGTTTTGTGATTCGCGGTGACCCCCTTCTTATAGAGTGACCAGTCGTACATACAGAAGATGACGGCGGGTGAAGCCAAGAGTTCTTGGAGTGTCCAGCCTCGCGTGAACCAATCGCAACTGACAAGTGAATCAGCGTCGAAGGCATCGAAAAGGTACACGATCGTCAGCGATGACCGGCGATACCAAGAAAACATAGACGCGATAGCTTTCTGTAGTTCGGTGCTGCTATCTTTGTTGATGCAACACGTATCGCTCCATGCCCACTGGAAATTACGTTCGAGAGCAAGAAGGCAGAACTGTTGGAGCTTCGCCAGACCGTCCGTGCCTCGCAACTCATAGATATTTTTGTCTTCAACATCGCATAGTACGGGCTCATCACTCCCCCACCTGTGAGACAGCATGGCAATTTGAAAGAAGTCTGTAACCTCACTACCGATCTCCATTTGGAACCGCTGCCTGTCGAGTGAAGAGGCTGACGACAGGAGCCGCTGGTATTGAGGACTACCCTCGAAATAAGATAGCTGGGCGGCTCGGTTACACATGACCCCTGTCGGAGTATGTAAGAGGCGCGGCGGAAGGTTTCCAACAATTGCATAAAAGCGGTCTTTGATGAAATTCTTGATATCCGAAAAACCAGAAGATGGAGGATCAATCCCGGCTCCCTTTAGGCGAGCCTCCGTTCCAACCTTTGCTTTGCGGCAACGTGCAAGACATTCCAGAGACAACGCTAGATCGGGTTGCCTTGGAGGGTACAACCCCGTCGCAGTATGCGCCAAGCTAATGGCCTCATCGATGTCGTCCACTAAACCCTGTTGTTGGAATTTTTCGAGAAGGGAGTCAGCGAGGCTGAGAAGAGGCCTGCATCGATTCGGCAGAGGAGTATATTCTAATGCAACCCGGCGAAGAGATATGATCTCTTCCAGATCCACCACGGAACCTTCCTTCCTAAAGCGTTCATAAAGGCAAACGTCGAGTTTGAGAAGAATTCTTTGTCTCTGAGGGTCGGTTGGGATCATGCATTCTGACGCTGCTCGCCTCATCGTGATTACTTCGTCTAAATCCTCTTTCGTTCCTTCCTTTTCGAACCGTTCAGATAGGAGATCAGCAAGATGGATGAGGGTATGATGGTGGTGTGCGTGGTCTGGTGGAGTTAATTCCAGTACAGTTCTCCCGATCACGATTAACGTGTCCAAACTGCCGTTCCTCCCCTGCCCCCTGAACTCTTCAACAAGGCGATCGGCAAGATTTTCCACAGCTAGGCGACTACTTGGGAGTCGCAAGGGCATACTGTTCAAGGTAGGTCCCGATGGAAGGGAGAGGAGCTCTTTCGCCTATGTATGAATGGAAACAAGTTTCTTCCCAGAGAAATTGAATGCAATTAAGATTGATGTACCTGAGTCCCAGCTATACCCTTGACCTCTGCCTTCCGAACGGAACTCGCGGAATTGTTTCTTGGAACTCCTACGATTCCATTACCGCAGGATGCCAAGAGTTCCTGGACGGCGCCCCACGCCGTCTCGGGCTTTCCATCAAAGGGCTTGCCATCAGGCAACGTGCTACAAAACTGTACACCTTCATCATTTGCTTGACGTCGAAATTGAGTCATTGGTGTTTCCATACTCTCGTTCGACAACCATGCGATGTGGTACGAAGTCGGAACGACACGAATGACGCTTGGAATGAGATTTGAACGGCATGTTCGTCGGAAAGCACCAAGATGTTTCGAGACTTCCAGGTTTGAGTCGCCTGCACTAGATGCAAGGTTATGCATGTACAGCACTCCAACCGCCTTGCACGGCTTAATATAGCTAACAGATAGGTTATTCATTGCACGATGTATGATGAAGTATGTCTTACTTTGAATCCATCCACTTTTTCAGTGTTTCCTCCCCATCTGGGCCGTCGGTGTAGAAAGACGGCGTCCTTACGATAACGATGTCACTTTGTATCCCATCGAAACGGCACCGTTCTGCATGAACATCTGCGGCGTCGGCATTCCGGCCATTGCTGACTCGAATATGAACGTTTTCATGTTGCAAAAGGGTTTTCATAAACTGGTGGAGCACAAACCAATCCACTATAAGCGACGGGATTGAACAGGATAGATGTGGATCCTACCGGACTCTTTCCTGAACCACTGGGACCTACGATGCTAGTTGCGCTCTCGGTTCTACTGTGTAACCAAGATAGCACCAGTGCACTCACAACACTACGGTATCGGTCGGTAAAATCGCTGTCGTCTTTTTAGACCTGCGAAACCTATCTAACAGACCCATTTCGCATGAGTCGCAAGGTCGGATGGCAAAGGGGGACTGGGTAGGAAATGGATGGCGTGACCTCGTCCACAGGTAACGCGTGAGGCGGCCTCGTGCTCAAGACCGGGTGGGCGTCTGTCAAATGCCGCACCCAGGTTTGGTGGACTGCTTATGAGTACCCGGAGTCCTACTTTTTTCCTTCTTGAGAAATTTTGCACATCCTGCAGGGTTTTCATTCCAAATGAGTGAATGAATCATTTCAAGTGCATATCATGTATTGGTTATGATGGGATATATAATTGTAATATTGTATCTCCTATGGTAACTTGGGAAGTGCCACCTGCATCAGCACTAACCTTGCTTGCTATTGCCATACTTGTGTCTCAGTTACAGGGAGATGACTTTCATAGTAGCTTTCATTGTGTGTAGTCTACAGTGCACTGTCAATGAATAGTGTCCAATGTCTGTAGTCTAAAGTCAGTGTTTTAGTCCAACAAGTACTAACTAGAACAGGACCATCACCACTGGCAGGCACCTTGTTTACCACCCCTGAGCATGCCACATATGACATATGCCACCCAAAAGATGCACAGCATACATTGTACCACATCTTACACAGAGACAGCCATGAAAGAGGACTCAAGATCATGTACTACCTATATTGCAAACACTTGTGACATGCCTCCCATGCAAGCCAATCACATCTCATCACTGCTGACAAACTCCCCTCCAAGCAGGTCAAGCCCAACCATCATGAGAAGGCAAGAAATGCCAAGTTGAACTATAGAACTCACAAATTATCCTCAATGAGAAAAGATTGCCCATGCACAAAGGGGTCCATTGCCCCACATACATACCCCCCCAAAAGCCAAATGAGGTTAATGATTCCCAATGTTTCAAAAACATCTGCAGGGGACATCAGCACACATGACACATCAGCCATGTTAACCCATAAGCAACTGCAGTCTGCAATCGACCAGGGCATCAATCCACACACACCAGTGGAAGCATGGACATCTTGGCATGCCACCAACCACAAACTGTGAGCCACATATTTCTGGAGGGTGGCCATTGTCTTGAATCCAAAAGGACCAAAGTATATTGGTGCAGGATTGACCATGGTCATGAGATGCAGAGTTAGCACTGGATAAGCACAAAAGGTGCTGTCAGATGAGAAGAAATTCATCACAGCCATGCTGTGAAATTCAAAAATTGGTGATACAGCAGTGGCCATATTCAAGATGACCACATCAATGGAGCAATGGATATTTGAGAATGATGTTACAGCACAAATTGAGGAAGAGATGCATGGGCCACCATTCACAAGCTGTTGATGCATGATCTGGTAGCCTGTCATGAGCAAGTAAGTCAGCAACAGCACCCCACAATGAGATGAAGCACTCACCCTCTCATTCCAATAAGACTGTGATGCAAGTCATGTAATGGCAGGACACATATATATTGAGGTCACAGGGGAACCATGCAGTGTCATTCACAGGTAAAAGAAGGTGCAGCACACAGGAACTGGAGACAACAGTGTAAGGAATCTGCATTCCTTGGATGCATAAGCCCCTATCATCTACCATTCCATGATTATCATTACATTCCCAGACCTCTCACATACACCACCATACACATGCTGCATCCCTGCTTACCTCACTACCTTCCCATGCCCTCACTCCCTCTTGTGCAATGCTATACCCACAGCCACTGTGCTCCAGTCACTTCCCATCCTTTGGATTCTTCCTTTTAATGTGGTCTCTGTCCCCTTTTTGTTAGTAGTATACCCTCAGCCTCTGTCCTGGCCTGTCCTATGTGTATGCACTGTCACACAGTTTTTCTTTACCTGTACCTTGTCTTACTTAGGTTCCAGGTTTGCCTGGACTATAAAGCTCTGTACTTAAGTACAGAATAATACCTTTTGGCACTCAGAAGGTCACCACAAGTTCTTTTTCACTTCATCTACACCACACATCTCACATACCACTGCACATGAACTATGTATACCACTCATACCACTCACATCACCAGTACTACTCTGCAGACCATGCCACACACATCACAAATCACTACCACTACAAAGTGCTGGGTCTCACCTTCTAGTCTCAGCAGTTCAGAATCCCTTGGGATGAGCAATTTGTTCCCTTCATTTTTCATTGTTGTTATCTAAGCCATCTAGCTCATATCATACAGCTACTTGGACTTTTCCTACTACTGGAGCCCACTGCAAGGGATTCTGCTGTTGCTTCCAGAAGGTCGCTCAGGTGCACTGCTGAATGCACCAAACTAGAAAATTTACACCTGCACTTTCACAACCTCAACCTGTCAGAAGACTCCAACCTCTTCCACCTGTTTCACCTGTAACACTGGATCACATGCAATTACCTGCTGACATTCCATGGGTACTACCCATGATCACTCCTCCTGATATTTTGGCAGATCAGATATCCATTGTGCTGGATCACCTAGATCTCACTGCCCCTGATTTTCCCAGTGGCTTTATCCACTTGACTCCCTGAAGACCTGGAACCCTGCCATCACCTTTAACACCCATCACATCATCTGATTCATCATCACCAACACCTTCTTTTTCCCATCTCTTTGACACCTCCAAATCTATACCCAGACTCTCAGTTCCATCTGCCACACTGCCATGACCACTCACTTGGTTGCAGACCACCCATCAGCCAATTAGTAACCTGCCAACACTTCTGCCAGTCCACTTGCACACCATACCAACCACTCTGCATCCACAACCAATACCCATTCCACCCATTACCAATCCAGTGCCACCACCACAGGTTAACCCACCAATGGCTAATCCTCAGTTTCAGATGCTGCTCCACAGTACACAAAACTCACCTAAATTTAGCAGAGATTCCCCTGTGCAGCTTCTGCACTACCTTGAAGACATTGACTTCCTTGGTACTCTTGCTGCTCCCAATGACCATGCCAACATCAGAGCTGCAATCTGCCACACTGACCTCAAAGAAGCTGAGGTCTGGCAAACACTTCTGGAAGCCACACCCACAGCTGACAACTGGGATGCCTTCATAGTCACTGTTAAGGGTTTGTACCCTGGCTGCGAAGGTGACAACCGCTACTGCCATGCAGACTTGCAGTACCTCATTGAAGAATATCAGTCCAAGCCTATGTGAAACCAGGATGACCTTGGAGAATACCAGTGGAAATTCACTAAGATTTCTGCCCTGCTCATTAAAACTAAGAAGCTTGCAGAGACAGAATGGGACTCCATGTTCCTTACTGGCTTCCCAAGGGCCATCACAGATTGTATTTGTCATCAACTCTCCATAGTCCACACAGACCTCCACCCAGATGACCTGTACCTACTTGCAGAGGTTGTCAAAGCTGCCAAGTTCCTTCTGACAGGATCTGCCCTATGTAGTGTGGTACTGATGATGGCTACTGCAGCCTTGACAGCTGCACCTCCCTTGCCAGCCTACATGCCACAGATGCCACCTGCTGGTTCCATCCCACCCTTCATAGAACATCTTGCAGAATCCTTCACTGGATATGGGGTGTATGCAATGATGGACCTCTACTCCAGGTATGACCAGTGCATGCTTCATGTTGATTCCTGTGACCTCACCACCTTCAGTACCCTGCTTGGACTGCATCATACCTTGCCCTTCATAGATGATGTCCCTGTAAAATCTGAAACCACTTGCTACCAGCATGCAGACAGTTCCTATGAGACTATCCCAGAGAATCCTGGGATTTGGAAATTTATCTGGAATCACTGTATAGTCATTAACTGCATCCTTCAGTGTTTGCAGAACATCAGAGCCACCACCTCAGCAAAGAAGTTCATGCTAGCCACTCTGTCTGCTGTCACACACCAAAGGTGTTTGGTGAGGTGGACATGGATACAGCTGATGAATGGAGATGAAGACCATAGCCCTCATGCAAAGAAGGACAGCCAGAAATGTTGGCAGTCATCCCTCACACAAGAATGAGTCATCAGTGCCAAAGAAAAAGAGAAAGGGAGCAAGTTAAGTGCTGGTTAAAATTCTTAAGTGCCCATGTATGGCATTCTGGTTTTCAACATATCTCTGCCATTTCTGCAGATACCAAGACCATTCCCACACTTGCTTGTAGTGCTCAGCCACACAATCCTACCTTCCAAAATTGGAAAGGATTTGCACACTCCACATGTTTCTACAGCACTCCCTCCAAAAGATGCTCATTTTGCTAATTCTTCTGATATGGCCACCTCCATGTCAATCATTTCACTTGTCCCCTTTGCTAGGGACCATGGCTACATATATCTAACAGGAGTTCCTACCAGCTTCTGTCCTGAAGCATCCTAGTACATCCCACCCTCATCTGCACCCTCTCAGCCCATCCAGCTTGGACAGCATGTTCTTTTTGTCAGTATGACCTCTAGGAGGACATTCTTTGGTCGCCTCAGGTCTGTCATTTGCTTGGAAAGGTCTTATGTGGTTGTTTCAGTCTCTCCAGTCCAAGAAGCATATGGATCCTTCCTCCCTGCTCCCTGCAATGTCTTCATACCAGTCTTGTCTGTCATTCTTCCAAGATTGTGACAGCTACAGTATAATCTACTGTTCTCCACTCTCCCTGATCACATCCATGATGAGTGTGATGCACATCTTGCCTCCTTGTTGCAAGATACAGCAGAAGACACTCCCCCTTCATCCTCTCTTTCAACAGAGCCTCATTCATGAAGTTTTTATTTGCTTCACTGAGAGGATGGTTTGGGGGGGAAAGTTGCAATCCCCTATGCTCCTGTCACCCCACAGACCCCCAAAGCTTGACCCCTGTTGACATCTGACTCACCCTGTCCACTTTTGGATGTACTATATCAGCATCAGATCAGCACTGCCTCTCTGTCATCCCACCTTGGCCTAGAAGCAATCTCTTCAAGATGTGACATGCACAGCCTCCCCCTAATGTGATTCCAGTGCACTTTCCCAGTTCCTGACATTACTTGACTCATACTTTGATATTCTGACTGTCTTTGACTCACCTATTGCCAATACTTACCAATCTTTTGACTTTGCTTACTGGTTCTTCACCTTTTGGCTTGCTTATCCTTACCAATGCTTTCCAAGACAATTACCCATCACTTACATTCCTTACTCATCAGTTACCAATCACTTACCAAGTGTTTGCACCTTG